GTCAGTGAAATTTCAATAGTGGCCAGAAAATTACAATAGAGGTCAGTAAAATTTCAATAGTGGCCAGAAAATTACTATAGAGGTCAGTGAAATTTCAATAGTGGCCAGAAAATTACTATAGAGGTCAGTGAAATTTCAATAGAGGTCAGTGAAATTTCAATAGTGGCCAGAAAATTACAATAGAGGTCAGTAAAATTTCAATAGTGGCCAGAAAATTACAATAGAGGTCAGTAAAATTTCAATTGTGGCCAGAAAATTACAATAGAGGTCAGAAAGTTATCATAGAGGTCAGTGAAATTTCAATAGAGGTCAGAAAATTACAATACAGGTCAGAAAGTTACCATAGAGATCAGTGAAATTTCAATAGTGGTCAGAAAATTTCAATAGTGGTCAGAAAATTACTATAGAGGTCAGTGAAATTTTAATAGCGACAAGAAAATTATAATAGAGGTCAGAAAGTTACCATAGAGGTCAGTGAAATTACCATAAAAGTTAGTAAGATTTCCATAGCGATCAAAAAATTACCATAGAGGTCAGTGAACATTAATGATAGATTGAATATTTGTGTATATTTTGTAAAAGTCATGAAAAAGTTTGGAACACCTGGTATTAAAATAGATTATATTTCAAATACATACTTGACCCATGGACCTCTGTGTTTACTGCTTTTTTTTTCTAGTTCACCTTCTTTAATGATTGCCTGACATCTTGGGAGACTTGGTAATCTTTCTCTCGGCATAGGATCAAATCCTGTATACCATGTTTTGTTTTGCTCTACTATTATCTGGAGCAATCTTAAAATCTGCAAAATAACATACAGAAATGGTGCTCATTTTAAGGTTATTTTGTTAAGAAAAATTTGTATGGATATTCAGGGTGGTGGTTGATCTGGGCTAAATATTTATATCTAAATTTGTGGATTGAGCACTGGAAAACGAACAGCCACTCACTAAGTGAGTGTGTGTTTTGTCTGTCATGTGACTGATGCAACAGTTCTGACCACACGACCCTGTACATGTACCAGGTACTATTAAATATGGAATGTGTTTTTGTGGCAAAATGAGTTACATGTCTGGTTTTCCCCACTGTTGGTGTATATTATCATGTAACACAGTTTCACTCCATGAGAGCAGTGAAAATTGTGCCGAGAATTCAATAAACAGGCAGCCTCTTGGCTGAGATAGCTCCGTTGTTAGCAATGCACATTTCAATTAGAGAAATGCAGATATCATCACAAAATTAACAAATCTGAGATCAGTCCACATGTTCATTTTCAAAGCAATCAGACTTTGAAAATATCACTTTTTACCCAAAAAATGCATTTATTAAAACAAAATGGCCGCCAGTCAGTCATTTAGAATCCTATGTAAAAAACAAAATGATGTGCATCACAGACTCATAATGTCCAATGTATGTAACAAGTTTGAACATGGTCCATCTATAACAGCCGAGAAATGCTTGATTTTAATGATTTTTCAGTATAAAAATGGCCGCCATTCAGCAAACTTGAATCAGATCATGAAACAAATTCATGTGCATATGTATAATATTATGTATGATGTGTGTTTGAAGTTTGAATGTAATTTAGTCCAGGCATGTCTAAAATGTAGGTACGGCCGGACAGACGCACGCCGACATGGACACACGCACAGAGGTCAATCCATAAGTGACCGTTTTAGAACTGTGTTCGAACGGGAACTAACAATATGTATGGTCAAAATAAATAGTATTTTAATGAACCATTTTTTTTTCATATGTCATCTTTTCAAATATGATGGTAAATATAGTATTTGACATTTGGAGCACCAGTGTATATGCGTTACTAATAAAAAAAAATACAATAGTTTTATTCATCCACACCTTCTCCTTCTCTTCCAGGTTATCAGCCTCCAGCTCATATTCATGGTAATCAGAAAAATATATGAAGAATTTTGTTCCTTCCTGTAAAATAATAATTAGTATTTTAATTTAATTACTTCAGACGAAATCCTCATTAAGGTTTAGTGACGACAATGTGCATAATCATGAATCACATTTGATAACGATCTGCAATGAGGCTATTTTTAATGAGGGGTGATAAAATTGGTACATGGATTTGTTGTTTGTTCCAGAGAAAAGGAAGTATAGTAATCAAAAGATTTATATTCAATTAAGCATTTTCTTCCCTTCATTTTCCTCTTCGGAGACAACTTAACAATGTGTGTTAATTAAGGTTGAGATGCAGTTTACCTGACAGGTATTTTAATTAGGAAACCAAGATGACCTCACTTGTCCACAAAACTATATATTTTCGGAAAGCTTATTGTATGAATTTTATAATTTTTTTTTTCATGGACAATGTAGTTTGAAATATGAACAAAAATGTACTTTTTTGGTCGAAAGTGATTTAAAAAAAAAATAGCTTCTAAACCATGCTTCTGTTTCCTGTCAAAATTGGTTTACGGGTACATCTGTTTACTATGAAGAACGTGCCGAATTGAAAACTGTCTACCAGTTGTCAATTTTGCATGGCTAGTTGTCTGTACGATTATTGTAACACTTTTCAACCCAAAACAATGCCCCAACGGCGTTTAAACAGACCGTCAATCATTTGTGAAAATTTCAAAACAGAAGGTCAAAGCGTCTAGGAGCTATTTTTTTTTTAAAGTTCTGGAATGTGCACTAAAAAGAAGC